AAAAAGAAATGAGAATTAACATAACGGGCTTATTCCCGATAGCATCGATTAGAGGTATGAAAGCGTGCCCTGAAAACTCAGATTTAGTCACGACTCAGAGGGTCGGGGGGACGGGTCACACCTTGCCTGACCCGCGGTTGGAGGGTAGCTTAGCTGCACAAGAAGGACCAAATTCTAAGTAGCTCTCTGTTTAATGACCATGACCCATCACAGACAGCTTCTTTTCCTACCACTCACCCCAGAAACCAAACTTCCTACACTACTCCTGGAGGTACCTTAGCTTCAGCTCACTCATGCTCAAAGACTCCGGATACGGGCTCTCCCTAATTCCGAACTATTGCCGTAGTAGCGAGCGGCAGGCAAACCTCTCTTGACGTTGGCTGGCCGTGTGGTTAGGTAATCTTGAGCCATCGCTTCTACTCTCGCGTCTATAACATTAACGCGTCCACTATATGTATCCGATGGCGGAGGACGAGGAGCGAAAAGACTCGGGCATTTCCAAACTTGATTCCGCATGTATTCGGAGCATTGGCGGATTGCAGTGCGGAAACCACCTTGAGTCCATCCGTGATTCGTCCATTCAGCCGTTATTTTTTTTGGCAGCATTGATGTAAAGTACATTTGTACATCAAGCCTCTCCACCAAGGATCAACTACCCGATGAGGAGATGAGCTCCGACGATGCCGCTCTCGCGATCGTCAATCGAAGCATCTTCAGCAGAACCAGAATGTTCCTGGAAGCATGTACCTGGTCGTCTACACTGCACTAGTAGTGACAAGAGTCTGGCCTTTCCTCGCTTGCGCCCAAGCTCTCGCTCGAGGGCCAAGGGTCACTCTGCTCTGCCTCTCCTCTCCCTCGCTCGATCGGTGCTTCCTGCTCCGTCACCGTTACCTTGATGGTGTACACTACATTGCGGCAGTACCTGCATGAAAGGTGCATCGGCTCCAGGGCCGGAGAGATGACTTTGAAGAATCGAAAAGACAACACCAACCACCATACATACTTTGCTATGACACCATCCCAACTCTGTGAATTGTGATTAGCTTCACGAGTTTGTCCGATGCTTAGGGAGTCGATCTCAAGTAGGATTTTTTGCCTTCGACATAGAAAGAAAAGAAAGAAAGAAGAAAATCCGATAAATGACCCGAAAAAAAAAAAATTATTCCCGAAGAATGTTGGTTGTTCCGTCCCTGCTCGCCATCAGATAATATGGCTGACCAAGATAGGTAATCCGACTGTGTTCCTCGATTCCAGTCCGACTGTGTGGGTTCAGCTACCTGCTGAACTCCCCTCGCTGCCAGATCGCCAATATCTAAGACACCAAGCTTGGCATATGCTGTCTTTAATCTCTGCTACAATCATCAAGTACTCGGTACCATATACCATTGCCCAAATGCGCATTCAAACATTGAAATAACAACGACCACATGAACACTTCTTCGTAACGCAAAAGAACCATTCTTGCGGGGGGAGGGGGGGGGGAGGGGACCTCTCACCAGCCCCCAGCCCCCTGCATCCCATGAAACTGACCCTAACACCTCAGTGATGCCAATTAGCGCTACCTAACCCTAACCCTCAGCATCCGGGCGGCCCGGTACAGACAAAAGCAAGAACTCCGTCATTGGCTAAAAGGCTCCCCACACAGTTGAATTGGGATCGAACACAGTCGGAATATCTGAATCGGTCATGTCATAACTGCTGCGCGCAGATCTGATTAATCCAGCTCGGTACCTGTTTTTGCATCGATCGATGGGATGATCCAACCGACGATCTTCTTCTTCTTCTTCTTCTTCTTCTTTTTCCAAGTCCCTCATTACATACTCAACACCATGGAACTGAAGTCGAGCTCACAGAGATGGGGACAGAAAGGACGCCGGGGGGCATCTACACTACTACCATACATGTATCGTACTACCTTGCTTTCATCCTGCGTCGTGCCTCGTATCTTATAAATACCTTTCCGAAGCTCGGCCGGCATCGGTGCAGGTCCATGCTCGGTCATCACGACGCCTCCTCGGCTTCCTTGCCGGCAATTGTTGCTTGGGCTTTTACATTTCACACCATCAGATTCAGGCGGACATGTGAATACCGAACCCATAGTAGCCAGCCAAACACCAAACTGGCACTCTCAACTCAATTTAGTGTAGTGTAATAGCCATCTCGCCATCTTGCCAGCCACCGAACCACACCACACCACACCACACCACACCTCGTCAATCTCTCAATGACGGACTATGTCTAATTTGCCATGTGGGAAAACCCCCCCTGCTTGTCTCTCGGAATCCCTTTTCATTGGCAGTGGGCAATTGGGGTTGGGGTGAAGATTTTCCGGAAGATCTCGCCGAGGGCGATCTCACTTCCGTCGTCCGCTGCTTCTTGCTTCTTGCTGAGTGCTTGCTGCTGCTGCTCACCATGCTGCCCGTACCTAGTGTACCTAGTGTAGTGTACCTGCTGCCCCTTGCATTAGCACCATGGCTCAACCCGTATGTATGTACTTAGGTAGTGTATGGGGGGCTGAACCAGAACCAGAACCAGAACCAGACTCAACGGCGCACGCCGATTCGTTGAGTGAGGCCCGCCGCGCCCAGTTCCTGTTCCTGTTCCTGTTCCTGTTCCTGTTCCTGGCTGCTTTTGAACTACAACTACACAAGGACACTAAAACTTGCACGTGAAACTCTTTCCCCCCTCCAGGAGGTCCTCATTAACCTATGTCTTCTCCCCAAAACTGGACCTTACCTTGCTAGGTTATTACGTCTAGGTTTTAGGTTTTAGTGTAGGTAGGTGTTGATGGCGCGAGTTTTGTCAGCCTCACTCTGGCAACTCAAACTCACCTCAATTCAAGCTTTACAAGGTTCATTCGAACGACGTCTCTCTGTCTGAGTCGTCTTTTCAGCTGCAATGGGGATTGCTCTACACTTACCTATGACATAATTCCTTCTAGGTATCTGGTGTATCTAGTGTACATCTATCGACACTAGCTATCTGCCATGTGCTCATGCTTTCGGATCCTGACTTAGCTGGGACGGGGAGGGGACTGGAGGGGAAGGAAAGAGGCAGAGCCCGTGCGGATCATCCATTTGCTTACATGGTAGAGGTATGTAGTGTAGTGTAGGAGGATTTGGGTCGCAGGTATATTGCCTCTTCAAGATTGGCCGAGGTTTTTTTTTTTTTTTTTTTTTTTTTTTTTTTTTTTTTTTTTTTTTTTTTTTTTTTCGCGACTGTGACCTCGCGTTGTAACTTGCAGCTGTGAGAGTAGTTATTCTCTTGTCTGCTAGATTGGAATAGCCACAGTTAGTCAAGGTCAGCATATGTTAGCTTCTGTTCTTCCCAACGCGGTAGGTTGTGTGTTTCGAGACAAGAGAAACCACCTCTGTACTCCATTACGTGTACACTACTCAAGCACATACCTACCTATAATAGACCCCTAGATCAACAAAGGGCCCCGTACTGCAACCAATAATGGTGATATCGACGTAGTTGAAGGAAACCACATAGCAAGGGATCAATACCTCTCGGTTCTGAAGTAGATGGATAGGAGAACCGTCCAAGGGACAAACACCGAGTTATAGGTATTCGCAAACATCGAGTATACCAATTGCTGTAGCTTTGTCCCGCCAACAAAGCATTGAATAAACCAAGAAAAAGTAAAGCAAAAGGTGACTGCCGTCATACCAGCTCTCCTCAGTCGTGACATAACTGCCTGCTAGAAGCACGACCGAACCAGTCAAGGCCACCCCCCTAGAGGTAGATACCTCTACAGAAAGAGCCCGCGGGCGTAACACCAGGTCAACCTTCCAAATAACCTCACTTTCCCCTCCCCCCCCTCGTCATCCCTTCTCGTCGTCGTGGACCAGCGGCCGTTAGAAACTCAGAAAATCCGCCCCTCCCTCGTCATTGCGGACCAGCGGCCGTTAGAAACTCAGAAAATCCGCCCCTCCCTCGTCATTGCGGACCAGCGGCCGTTAGAAACTCCAGTCACAAAATCCGCCTCTTACTTCGCCTGATTCACCTCCCGCATATAACAACCCTCTGTACCCCATTTTCCCTCTCTCTTCTACCGATTCCCTTCTTCTTCTTCTTCTTCTTCTTCTTCTTCTTCTTCCCCCTCCCCCTTTTTTCTTCTTTTTTTTTGTTTTTACCTCGTATCTCCATCCCTTCCTCCCGGATCCTCTCCTTCTTCCGCCTCTTCACCTGAAAGTAAGCTTTTGGCGAAGGTCGACCCCGCTGTTAGGGGTCAATGGGGTTGGAGAGGTCGTACGTACCTCCAGGTAGTCTGTGTTATTCGAGTTGACTGCTGGTGACATGAGGTTTGGGGTTGGGAATGGCTTTCTGTTATTGTAGTTGGTGATGCTGCTGCTGCTGAGGCCTCGGAGGGCTCGGTCCATGTCATGATGGAATACGAGGCCATTTTAAGATGTGAGGACCTTACCGCAGTGGGAGAAACTCTATATGGTGAAGAAGAGGAAGAGCTGTTAAGATATGAGGAAGTGAGAATGGCTTTGGGATGGGTTCCTTTGCTCGGGGATGAATATTGTGGTGTTTTGTTCGGTAGTATACTGGACATCGTAGCGTCTCTCCTCAATCAATAAGTCATTGTGGTAGCTCCAATGGTAAGGTCACTCTTCTGAAGCTTCCACCGGATATATGTTTAGGTGCATGTACCTTTTGTGTTCACCATTTGTATTCAGATTCCAACCAAAGTGATAGCACCGTGTCATCACGAGGGAGAAACTGAGGATCACTCGAGGATTATAATATCCCTAGAGGATGACGAGGGGATTTCGATGCGTTATCTTCAAGGTGAGGAGTAATCATTATTGATCTCATTTTCCTATCTGTTTCGATAGTGTGACTTCTGTCAAGTGAATGTCCAATATTAATAACTTTGATCCAAAACGTATACAGCAATGAAAAGTTCGAGGTATACCACACTACCTACTACTTCTCACACGGACTAATAGCATACGCACTCCTCTTCCTCAACTTTGGCCCCATCTTCCAAAACACAAACGGCGCCGGAGCAAGAACAACCGCCACACATCCCAGGATCGTCATGGTCCATTTCACCCCAAAACCCGGCACCGTAAACAACGGTCTCGTCCCCAAAGCCATGCCACCAGCAATGATATACCTCAGCATCGTGATAGCAGAAAGAGCGCTTCCAGCATGCACTCCATAACTATCCACAATGTACCCGTAACTGCTGGTATAGAGGGCCATCAAGACCAGACCGAAAAGGAAGCACGCCCCCAGTACAGACCACATGGGTATCATCTCCACGTCCGTCCAGCCCAGCCAGAACAAAGCGGCTGGAAGCAGCGGGCCGGCCACAAAGCCGGGATACAACCGGAACTCGGGCTCGAGCGTGGCATTCGCATCCTGCGTACTACTTGCGAGACGCGCTTCGCGGCGGCGGGCCCAGAGATAGAGACCCGGTACTGCGAGCATGAAGGAGGTGGCACCGGCTGCAAGGGCGCCGAAACAAGCGCCGGTCTGGCCCTCGTCGAGGTCATGAGCTTGGCGGAAAATTTGGTCGAAGCCTGACAAGAAGGTGAAGAGGAGGGTGTAGAGCAGGATGAGATAGACCCCCAGGACTGTGATGACAGACTCAGTGTGAATGAACTTGAGCGGAAGCGAGAGGCGAGTTCTCAAGCGTTGGGCAAAGGATTTCTGTCGGAGGTTTTGAGCATGCGCGGACACATAACGCTGGTCATTGGTGAGGCGGCGGAGGTGTTCGGCTTTCCAGTCGAGAAGTTTGGGCAGATAAGTCTCGGGTAGGAAGAGAAAGGAGACCAAAAAAGCGGTGCCGGAGATGACGAGCGTTACCCATTCTGTCCAGTGCCAGCCTAGGTATGGGTCCGCGATGATAAATCCGCCTGCAATGGGTGCGATGACCGCAGCTGTTATCATGTTAGCCAAGTGAGTTACAGTTGGAGAGCGGACAAGGAGAGGCTTGCCTGCAACGTTTGCCCAAGCGATTACAGGAAAAGCAAATGTCCTCCCAACAAAACTGAACTGATCCTGTACACTCGAACCGTTGCTGCCCAGAGTTCCGCTCGCGAACAAGCCAACGAAGTACCGACATGCAACATGTCCACCAAATGTCGGCCTCAGGGCGGAGCCAAGGACGAAAAAGATGTAACAGAAAGTAGAGGTCAGGTAGACCGGGCTTCGACCAAAGGTTTCGGATAGCGGTCCGGCAAAGAGAGCACCGGAACCCATACCGAACAAGTACATGGCCGTGGAGAGCGCTTCGAGGGCCGAGTCCACACCGTATTCTTCGGCAATGTCGGCGTTGGCCATTGATTCGGCGCCGGCTGAGTATCCCTGGGCGAAGATGAGGATGAACAGGATGGCGATGTTCTTGCATCGGGCTGCGAGTGGCCAGTTTCTGGGGTCGATGGGATCATTATCGCCGATTGTCGAAACAATAATAAGTTCTTCTTTGTTGTTGCGCCGTTGAGTGTCTTCAGTATTCGTTTCTTCCTAGTCTCCGGGTGCTTCGACTTCATGTGCTCTGGGATTCAGGTACAAGCCTGGTAGACGGCCTGATTCGACTTCGGCCTCTACTTGTTTTGCGATACGTCGATATTGGACAACCGACCACATTGTCGGGAGAGGAATCCGAGTATGTCGCTAATGGATCGGTTGTATACGTGCAATTGATAATGGTAAGAATGGTTACTGTGTCCAAGCTGTCGTGAACCTGGGAGAATATTTGTGCTGTAGTTTGTTCAAAGACATGACGAGTTTTCTTTTCCGGCTCATGGATGACAAACTGACGCGAAGCAACCAGGAGGCAGGGCGTCATCGAAGTTTCCAGTTATCCTTGTGCTTCTCTCGTGGGGGAGGTAGTAGCCCATGACAAATCCTTCTGGTGTAGCACAAGTCAGGAACCTCTGTCATCATTGAGTTCGGAGATGGGAAAGAATGAACAAGGCCAAAGAAGGCGAAGTTGGAGTGGCATCGTGAATGCCAAGAACAGCAATTACTTACACATGAAAGACGTACATCACTGCGAAGTCTAAACACAGAGCTTACGCTTGCCAGCAAACAAGAATGATATCCCTTATATACTCATCACTCTGTCAACCCAAGCTTAACAATCAGGTCCTGTCTGGGCATCTCCAAAATGGCTGACAATATTCTTGAATCCGGTGCTCCGTCCTTGCCGTATGGCTTCTGCAACATATCCTTGATCTTATTGTACTTGTTGCTGAGCTCGGTCGATTCGGCCTCTGATATGTTGTCCTCCAGCCGATGGAGATCGCTGCGCTCCTCCTCGAGGACATGTGGTTGTAGGTCCACCCAGATGGCGTGCAGGGACGAATTGAAGCTTTCTTGGGCGGGATCGAAGCGTTGCATGTGTCGTAGCTTGGAGTTTATCTGTATTGTCAGAGATAGCAGTCAGAATCTCCAGTCAAGCAATTTGGACTTCTCTTTCGATAGACTTACACTCTCAAAATCATCAGACAGTCTTTGACGTCGTTGGTGGCCGTGACTTGCCAGATGCTGCTCCAACGCCGGAGTTAAGACGAGGTCTTCAACGCGCAGGTAGCGATCAAGTGCCCAGATGAACTTGTTTCTCAGCGAGTGACGATCCTCTGGTTCGGCACTGCTGATGGCGTGGTACGCCTCGGTGATGAGCGCATGGTCGGCTTTGACGGCGTCTGAGATTCTGGACATTTTTTCGTTTCTTCTTTCTTTCTTTTCTTTCTGAAGTGATGATTTGTCACTAGAGAAGGTTCAGTTTTCTTGGGAAATGGGTTCGGTAGTGGTAGTCACCCAATGTGTTGACGACCGAGTTGGAGATCATTGTGTTTGTCGACGGACGGAGCTTTGGTTATGACGTCACTCCATTGTAAGGTAAGATAGGGATCACTGCGTACTGAACCTCAACGGCAGTATGGGTCTGGGACTTCGAATTATACAGGTATGCTATCCGAATACCTCTACGTAGAAGCCAGACACGAAGCCTTTGTTACTTCAGTCTACAGCATCTCGTCAATCGAAGGCATTTGGACCTTGTACTGGATGATACACCTTTACAAGAATAAGACAAAGCGATAAGGTACCGTATGCCGATAAGCCACATTGAGGTCCCCGTCCGTTTTCCCCCACCCAAGTGTCTTCCTCGATGTCTTCATTCTCGTTTTCTTTTTCGCAGCAAATGTATGCTTCATCTGTCAACAGACCACCCCCAGAACACCTTTGCCTCCAATTGACTCCCACGATTCATCAATGGAATGGGAATCGATAGCATATGATTCTGTTAACCTCGGCCCCGCTTCGTGACGTCTCGTCTTGGCGCCCGCCATTGGAGATTCCCCCCTCGCGGAGTCCAAATCAATTGCCGAGCGCAATCGCATGCAACACCCAACACATCAAGATGGCCGCTCGTGTCTCAGAAATCGGGACGAATCGCCGGCCGTGTTAGCCGTTGATTCTTGGTTTACTTGTGCATTGTTTCTGCTTTCGGAGAGCTGCTGACACGCCTCCAACACACTATCCGTATCGTACTATTTCAATACCAACAAAAACGGCGACAATGGCTAGCCTTCCGCTGGCATCGCGACACACAGCGCCGGCACTTCTTGTTGCTCGCCAATGGGCTGTATCAATCTCTACCGCCACCAGACCTTCGTCAAGGCTCTCGCTGCGAATTAGGATACAAACAGGGCATGGCGTCCGGAGTCTGTCCTACTCAAAACATTGGCGCTCTCAATCTCTCCCGACAGTAACCCGTGGCGATTCCAAGTTGTATGCCAGCGCCGACGATGCTGTGGCGGATATCAGGAGCGCATCTGTTATCTTGAGTTCGGGCTTTGGCTTGTGTGGTGTGCCAGGTGAGTAGACGGCCATGTGTCAGTGCACTTCAGCTCCATGACTAGAAACACTAATTTAGGTTGTGGTCACAGAAACCCTCATCGAGGCAATTCGAAAAAGAGGCCCAGAATCTCTCCATTCCCTAACGGCAGTATCCAACAATGCCGGCGCCGAAGGTCGAGGGGGCTTGGCTCTCCTTATCGAGTCAGGCCAGATCGATCGCATGATCATGTCCCACCTAGGATCCAACAAGATTCTCGAAAAGAAGTATCTCACTGGCAAAATCGCCGTCGAGCTTTGCCCGCAGGGAACAATAGCCGAGAGGATACGAGCTGCTGGCAGTGGCATTCCGGCCTTCTTTACACCTACTGGCGGGCGTACGTTCATCCAACAAGGCGAGATTCCCGTTCGCCATGACGCCGACGGAAATGTGGTCGAGTACGGCAAGCCCAGAGAAACGAGGATCTTCAACGGTCGACCGTTCCTGATGGAAACCGCTCTACCGGGCGACGTAGCTATCCTGCGCGCATGGAAGGTTGATAAAGCTGGAAACTGCGTCTTCCGCTACACGGCCAAGGGCTTTGCGCCGTTGATGGCCAAGGCCGCAAAGGTGGCCATCGTCGAGGCGGAGAACATTGTTGAGATTGGTGAGATTGACCCCAACGACGTAGACCTTGCTGGAATTTTCATCGACCGCATTGTACCGGCTACGAAACCATCTCAGGTCGAGGTTCTCAAGACGCGGTCGCGAGACGATGGTGGTGATGGAAACCAGACGAAGGCAGCCAAGTCAGGGGGCTCGGATGCGCAAGAACGGAGGAACAGGATTGCTAGGCGTGCGGCGAAGGAGCTAAAACATGGATTTTATGTTAATCTCGGGGTCGGTATCCCAACTTTGGCTCCAGAGTTCTTGCCGCCTGGACATCAAGTTTGGATCCAGTCTGAGAATGGTATTCTGGGAATGGGTCCGTACCCCTTGCCCGACAAAGTTGATCCGTGAGTACTCATTCCCCCCTCATCAGATTATTATATAGCGTACTAACCGTCATTCCCAGCGATATCGTCAACGCCGGCAAAGAAAGCGTCACCCTCGTCCCAGGCGCCGCCACCTTTGACAGTTCCGAATCCTTCTCCATGATCCGAGGAGGCCACGTCGACGTTTCCATCCTCGGAGCGCTGCAGGTCAGCGCGGCTGGCGATCTAGCAAACTATATGATTCCCGGAAAGATGTTCAAGGGAATGGGCGGTGCTATGGACCTGGTGTCTAATCCGGACAACACCAAGATCGTGGTGGCTACCGAGCATGTTGCCAAGGATGGGTCGTCCAAAGTGGTGCAGAGCTGCAGCTTGCCGCTGACGGGTGCGAGGGTTGTCAGCACCATCATCACTGATCTGTGCGTTTTTGAGGTTGACCGGAAGAAGGGTACGCTCACCTTGGCGGAGATTGCGCCGGGGGTAGATGTTGAGGAAGTGAGGAGCAAGACGGATGCAGTGTTTTCAGTGGCAGATGACTTGAAGACGATGGAATAGAGCATTCAAAGCAGTCTATGCATAGACCCAGATATAGGTTCATTCAGCATGCAGAGCGCCATCTTCAAGTTCGCATGTTTTGTTTACCCTAAATGTTAAGGGTTTCCGCAAACACCAAACATACCATCTCGATATCGGGGATTGTAGTATAGTGGTCAGTACTTCTCGTTGTGGTTTCTCACAGCGATCCGAGAGGACCCAGGTTCGATTCCTGGCAATCCCACATTTTTGCCGCACTTCATGCCCTTGGGGAGGTAGAAGTAGACGTTAGATGCATCATCAACAACAACAACCATCTCCATCACGTCACCGATAATGTTGACTAGCGAGAGGAGCTTAGAATGGGACGATTTTGTCAAATTGATTTCCTGAGTCGATGTCAAATCATGATCATGATAGCACTTGAGAACCAGGCAGGCCTGAATAAACTCAACTGTCGGTCAATGTCAAACGATGCTCTAATCAAGCGTTTCCATCATTTCAAGAAAATAACCCATCGCAACAAAAGATATCTTCCGATTCTAGAAGGGGAGCTTTGTGGTGGTGTAGTTATCTGCAGGGATCATGTTTTGGTCTTTCAGGGGCATTGTAGATAACACCCACAACTTCGGCGCATTTTCTAGGTGCCGAAACGGGGGGGGGGGGGGGGTTGAAACTCCACTGCCTCGGTCACCTATCAACCTACATTTCCGATTTCCGGGGGTAACTATCCCCGTTTCAACACATCCAAACGAAGGAACAAACGATATAAACGCGGGGGGAAGTGCCAAGAAGTAGCCTTTCTACATCACCTCATCTGCCTTAATTCTCACATCACAAAAGTTGGAAAACCTACCTACCTACCTACCTTCCTTGTACCTACCTGCCTTACCTCAACTTCCACTTGCCGCCACGTCGACGTCCAGCTCTTCCGGGCATCGCGACTTGAAAGATACTATAATACTAAAACCGCCTGCCCGAGAAATAGTGACATTCGCAGCAAGAAGGAAGATGTCCAAGCTTTCCCCCTCTCTCAAGGGTCTCATCAACGCGCCCTTTGCGCGGCCAGGCCCGACTCCGGCGCCGCGCAACATTGAGGCCGTCTACACCAAGATCGCAGATGAGGCTCGCGAGAGGAAATATGGCGAGAAGCCATGGCTTGCGCTTTCTGTATGTTTTTTTCATTTCTTGTTCTTAAGACCATCCCTATACTCTTTTTTTTAATCATGAATTTACTGAAATCCAAAAAAAACAGGCAGCAGCAACTTTCACCCTCAACTCTCCCTCTTCCTTAGGACCCCTCCTCACACTCGCCTCCTCCCGATGGCCTTCTTCTTCCTCATCTTCCTCCTCCCCTTCCCCTTCCTCTTCTTCTTCCCCTTCCTCTTCAGCACTCCTTGAACCCGCCGAATTCATCCGCGAAATCGGCCTCAAATGCATCTCCTTCAACGGCATCCCCCGCACAATCAACACCCTCAACTTCTTCCGCGCCCACCTCTCCTCCGCCCACCCACAGCTTTCATCCCACCTATCCACCACCCCGACCCGCCAAACCACACCCTCAAACATTTCCGCCGTCCACGCCCGCGGTCGTCAGCTGTGGGAATCCATCTACACCCCCCTAGACGCCAAACTCGAAGCCAAGCTCGCCGAGGCCCACCCCGATTTACCTGTGCATATCCTCGGTAGCCATTACGGCCCTTTACTCAGTGATCCCCCCTCCGAAAAGAATGGGTTGGACAGTAAAGTGGGCAGGAGTCTGACGAGCGTGGTGGCCATTGCGTGTTTACGTGCGCAAACGGGCGTGGGGCCGCAGGTGTTGTCGCATGTGTTTGGACTTCGGAAGGCGGTCGAGCAGGGGGCGCATTTGCACGAGTTTGCTGCTGCTGGTCAGTCTGGTGGTGAGGGAAGTAAAAAAGGGGAAAAGGAAAGGAGAAGTGAGGAGGCGGAGGGGATTGAAAGATTGGCTAGTGATGAAGGGTGTGAGTGGATTTTGAGGAGCGTGGATGCGATTAGTGAGGCGATGGCGGCGGCGGCGGCGGCGGCGGCGCAGGATGGGAACATGAACGAGGGAGGGTTTGCTTCACCGATGAGGAAGAGGGAGAGTAAGCTGTGAGATATCCATGCTGACTTGATGTTATTTCGACTGATGATTTGATCTTGAACTTCCGTCCGGTATATAAACCCTTTCCCAAGTCCTAACCCTCAACACCGAGATACGCAGCACTGGCGGTCCAATGGATGAGTGCTGTAACGGGAGCACACTACAAACTCCAGGCGCCAACCCTTGGCCGGGTGGCAGTGACAACCTGAAGGGCAAGATCCTCACAATTAGTTGCCGCCGGAAACAAGCTGTTTTCATGGCATAGCTTACTTTATTTCAATTTAGAGGTAGCTACACGGCTTTAGAAAACGAAACCCCGACAAGGACTCATAATGACAATCTGTTGTCCTCTCTCTCAACCCTGCGCGACACACATCATTCATAACCGTTACACATAACCATCGCTGACGTGCCACACCTAGGAGACTTCTTCACCAAGCCCCCGACAGCATGCCAAACGTCTTTCCTGTTCACCATCAATCACTCAAGGGCCTTACACCCCCTCCACACCAACCCCAGTCACCATCTTCGCCTTCAAAGTTCGCCTCTTGAGAGCCTTCCAACCCTCGATGATGGCCACATAAACAACCACACAAGCCATAACAACACCCCACTCCCACGTAATGGCATTATGTTTGAACACCACGTGGTTAATAACAGGGATGTAGATGACAGGAAAGCAGATCACGAATCCAGCCGACACCGCGCCAAACAGAAACTTGTTCTGCCACACCGTCTTTAAGACGGATAGTGGGCCCGAGTACTTTTCGGGATGCATGTTGAACAGCGACCGGGTGAAGTGCTTCGCCTCCCATGCCGTGACCAGCAACAGAAAAGTCAGCGTAGCGAAAGTCGTCGCTCGCGCCCTGAACGCCACGCCACACTCAGACGTCCAGTCCTCGTTGCAACCCTCGCCGAGTCCGTCGGCACCCGGCATGCCGTATGCCACGCTGGTGAAGGCCGCCAGACAAAGACCGCCCATGGCTGTGCCGTAGACGAATTTGTCGACAATCAGCTCGCGCGTGAAAATGCCAACTTGCAGGTCGTGCGGAGGGCGTTGCATCACGTCCGGTTGGGCATCTTCAAGACCGAGGCCGAGGGCGAGGAAGGAAGAGGTGACGAGATTGGCCCAGAGGATTTCGAGGGGCGAGAGGGGGAAGACGGAGATACCATCATTGTCCTTGAAGGAGAGACCGATGAGGAGGAGGATGACTTGGGCGATGTTGGAGATCAGGAGGTGGAGCAGGAACTAGGGTTGCTCTTGTTAGTCATGGCGTTTTCATGCCGTCCGCTTGCTCGATCAGGTACGTACCTTCTGAATGTTATCAAACAGCCTTCTTCCCTCTTCAATGGCGGTGACGATGGAAGCAAAGTTGTCGTCAGTCAGAACCATATCTGCCGCCTCTTTGGCAACATCACTGCCGCTCAGTCCCATGGCGATGCCCACGTCTGACTTCTTCAGGGCGGGCGAGTCGTTGACGCCGTCGCCAGTCATGACGCAAAAGGCCTTTCTCCTATGCATGGCTTCCACCATTCTGACCTTGGTCGTTGGGCTGCATCTCGCAAGCACCAAGGGCAGACTTTCCAAAGCGTCAATTTCGGCGTCTGTGAGACTGTCGAAAGCGCTGGCCACCATCACCTCGGCCCCATTTTGTAATCTGTCCGAGTTGAGAATGCCAATTTCGCAGGCAATGGCGGTTGCAGTCTTGACGTGGTCACCCGTTACCATATGAACCGTGATGCCAGCTGCTTGACACTTCTGAACCGCTGCAGCGGATTCGAGACGGGGAGGGTCATAGATACCAGCCAAACCAAGGAAGGTCAAATGCATTTCAATGCTTGATCTTCCGGGAAAAATCGACGCCGAAGCTTTCTCCTTTTCGGGAGTAGCAGAGACGTCATCCCCAGCCTGGAAGAGGGCTCCATTGACGGATCGCTTAGCAACACAAAGCACACGCAGACCTTGGGCAGCTAGGGCTTCCGCCTTTGCCACGATCTCAACCTTCTGCTCGTCGGAAGCGTCAAGTAAAGGCAACAGAGCTTCGAGCGCGCCTTTTGTGTACGCACAAGCAATACCAGCGCCGCCGCTTTCTGTGCTTGTGTAAACGACCGTCATCCTCTTGCAGGATGAATCGAAAGGGTACTCGGCGAGCAGCTGCTGTTGTGACTGTCCATCAACAACAGCCAACACACTCGACTTTCCCATACCAAACCGCATTGCAAAGGTCTGCAACGCAATCTCGGTTGGCTCACCGATAGCCGAATAAGTGCCTGCTTCCTCGGCCTTGGTGACAACCGCGTTGTTGCAAAGAGCAATGCTCTCCAGAAACTCCTTGAGATTCTCCCCCTTTGCGCCAATGGCCTCTTCAGGATCTTTCATGCCATGATCAGCGAGGCTAAAGACTTCCCCCCCAATACTGACCGACCCGCTGGTAGGATCAAAAGGATGCGTCGTCCCTAGGACTTCGACCTCAGTGCCATTCGCAAGCCAGACCTTCTTGGTCACCATCTTGCCCTGCGTCAGCGTCCCCGTTTTGTCTGAGCAAATATTTGTCACCCCGCCGACCGCCTCGAGTGCGGCCAGCTTGCGGATTACAACGTTTCCACGGGCCATGGCGCGGGTGCCAAGCGCAGTAGCGATAGTCAACACGGCGATAAGTGACTCTGGGATGACGGCCACGGCGACGCAGATGCCATAGATGAGCACCTCATCAGTGACGTCGAACTTGCTAACAGAGAAGACAATAATGGCCAACAAGATGGCCAGAGCAAACAATAGCAAAGCAAACTTGCTCAGCGTGACCTGCAACGGCGTACCGTCAAGGCCTAGGAGGACGCGCATGCCATTTCGGGCGCGGACGACCAGCGAGCGGAGGGTTCCCATTTCCTCTTTATTGACGCGCGTCTTGTTGCGCCCGCCGTTGCTGTCGCGCAGCAGGCCCGCAATCTTACCTACCTCGGTACCCATGCCCGTCGAGACGACGATGCCCGTGGCGCGTCCGCGAGTGATGGTGCTGGCTGAGTAAACCATGTTGGAACGGTCGCCGAGAGGGACATCACGGTCCCGGGCCATGACTACCTCAGCATGCTTGCTGACGGGAAGGGATTCGCCAGTTAGCAGGGCCTCATCGGTGGAGAGGTTGATACTGGTGGCGAGACGGAGGTCTGCGGGGACCACATCGCCGACGCCGAGGCGAACGATGTCGCCAGGCACAAGTGTCTCGGCTTTTATGGTAGAAGTGACACCGGACCGGGTGACTTTGCAGGTAGGCGCCGAGAGGGCGTACAAAGCCTGGATGGTTTGCTCGGCGCGATAGTCCTGAAGGAAGCTGATGGGCGAGGCTGTGATTAGCATGTCGACTAACAAGGGCACAACAAAAACATGAAGTGAAGCTTGGTCCAGTCTTACCCGACTATGATGTTGAGAAGAATGACCGCAGCAATGACACCGCCTTCGATATGGTCACTGATGGCAAAGGACAATACCATAGTAATAACGAGGACAAGAGTCAAGCTGTTGGAGACCTGTCTTAAGAGAATCGTCCAAAGGGATAAACCCTTGGCACCCTCAACCTTGTTGGGGCCATGGTGCTGCAGACGACGGGCAGCTTCATCGTTGTCGATTCCATTTCTACAAGACTAAATAAGTGACCAAACTTTTGAGTGTAGTGCATTTCTGCTTTAGGGCATCAAAGGGGAATTACTCAGGGTCGGTTCTGAGAAAAGCACAGACGTCCGGCACCGAAAGGGTGTGGGCCGCTTCAGGAGTGAAAGACGGCAGATCGCCGGGTCCGGTTCCGGTAGTAGTAGTGGTGGCGTCGTCGTCGGCCCGGTATTCACATTCTTCTCCGATGATGGTCCCGGTGTTGAGCGTAGTCAAGGTTGGAGACCGTGTGGTTGTTTTAGACGTTGTTGGACTCTTGAAGCCACATATAGGAGGCTCCGTCTGGCCCTCGACGTCAAGTTCGATCTCTGTCCCCATTCAATATCCTGTGTATGTGAGATGCTCGCCGGTTGAACTTCAGCGAAGTTTAATGATGTACGTAGTGGAAAGCAAAAAGGGAGGGGGAAAAGATAAGGAAGAGGGAAACCGAAAACCGCCGCCTCTTGTGTGACGGGATATGCGGGGGGCTTTTATCAACAATGAGGAAGTGACCGCCCACCCAAAGAAGCAAACAGAGGAAGGTACCTCACAACGCCGAGAAGGAGCTTCACTCGCTGCAGTGTTGATCAGCCTATCCGCGTCCATACACGGAAGGTAGGTATAGAGGTATCAAACGGTATCATCCACATCTGATCTCCTCTCCTCTCTCTGTCACTTCCCTTGTTTGGCTGAACGGCCTCCTTAGTCTCTCTCCGCGCCATATGCGGCCCGCCACGCTGCTTCAACACAACACAACATGGCTGCTGTTGTGGTCTGAACATATCAAGCGCGCCACAGCCCGACAACGAAAGAGTACCATACCATCTCAACACATTCCCCTCTCTTGTCTTCCATGGTATATCAGCCAAGAGTCCACCAAGCTATCCAAGCCCTTGGAAATACGCATGCATTTCCTGGCCAGTATGGTCAGTTGAGGGGGCGGGTTGAAATATTGTGACCTATCATGGCCTATCGGGGTTGCGTGGCCAGTAAAGTGCCATTGTCGACTACGCCGAGCTTCCTGCCCAGAGAAGCTGGCATGCGGGCAAGGGCGGGGGCGCTGTGGCTATGCCTCTTCCAGAATCCTTGGCAGCATACGTTAGCAGAATGTCCCCGGGGAAAGAGCTATCCCTGCTACCACTGACCGACACTGACAAAGTCATGTCACCTGGTCTTTTCTCTCGACACTGATACGTACAATTCGCTGATGGATGGAGGTCCAGATGGCTTACCGGTCGGTGTCGGACTCGGATCTCGGACCTCCGACTTTAGGTCGTGATCGGTCCCTCAGACTTCACAGATCAGTTCCGGTCCGGTACTGTCAACGGAAGCTGGACGCCATGCCCGGCCGGCCGGTGTGAGTGATCAGGAGTACATCAGTGTGGTAACTCCGGAATAGCACGGCCGCTCCGCTCGGAACTTTCGTATCTTCGTTCGGGTCGAAGCAGTTATATCCCCCTCCATCATACAACACAATCTGCTTTCCACATGCTGTCGGTTCACTGAAACGCAGACAGCTGACAGACATCCAGTTATCAATCTTCCCAAAACCCCCCCTTCCCCCCATTCCTCTCTCCGACCGATGCAACCATCGATGCAGACGAGTTCCCAGTCAAAGAGGAAACATCCCCGCATTGCGATAACGTCCCTAACCCTCCCATCAATCTCTCACTCTGGCATCAAGGTCGGTATAACGATGCCGAGATCCTCAGAAAAACACCAAACACGACGCGGTTGGTTGCGAAAGAGAAACCAGCCCCTCGTTCCCCAACGCATGAAGCCGATGTAGGTGCCCGTTGACATTTGCAAATGTTGAGTGTTTGGACATGGCCAGCATTTCTCAACGACCGGAAGAAACGGGCAAGAAACAAAACAAAAAAGTGTGTAGAAGACTTCTCGACAACAGAAGACGGTTGAGATCGATTTACTTTCACTCAGTGTGCCGTGTAGTGTAACTTTTCCACGTTCGGCCCACGCCAAACGGTGGAGTCATCTCATCTCTAGCTCGGTCGTCCCGCCCTCGTTCAGGGGTAGAGAAACACAAAACCAAACAACAACACCTTCGAGTGGAACCGCTATATGATAGGAGGTTACCACGACAACCACAATTGCGCGAGTCACCGTCGGTATGAGTCAAGACCTCAAGAAGACAGTCTCCAGATTCTTTTGAATTCGATGTCTCTTCTGGCGTCTAAAACCATTAGCAATTTTAAAATACCAAACCTCCTACCCTCGCTCACTTGTACCTGTCCTTTACTCTCTATCCTCTCAATCTGCGTCTCCGCCCCATCAAGTTCCCAGTGATTGTTATGATCCGTCGGAAGCTCTTCCGGGGCGACCGACGCAGACCTCCACTGGCTTCTCAACGGCAACGGGTTCCTTATTTTCTGGAGAGAACACAGTACGCTCTACTTTTTCCACGCCAATCTCATAATGAGTTCTGAGGTCTTGTATTTCCTCGATTTTCCCCAAGAAACGAAATAGCAATACCCCGAGCATCACTAGGCCGACGATGCCGGCAGTTGCACCGATGTTGTTAGATCTCTGGCCACCGATCTGTGTGTCCCCAGACCCAGAAGATGGCGAACAAATGCTGATGCTGGACGTAGTTGAGTTGCCTGAGTCGTCGGTTGGAAAAAGGTTAAAGTTGTGGAACATGGTCTTGACTGTGTTGGAGGACCAAGACACGGTCGCCATATTTCCTTCAATTTTCCTCTTATCTTTCTCTCTCTCTATCTTTTTCTTTGATTTTCATTTTCAATTTTTTTTCATTCTCTCATTATCATCACTTATTTTCTTTTCAAATAACATTCGAAGTAAGAACTGACGCTCCACATAGAAAAGAACTTTCAACCCGCTTTGTTCTACTATACTAGACTAGTCCTTCACAACACCAGGTCGATTCATAATCGTCTGTTTCCGCATCAACACTTCCATCTTTGACCAATAAAAGCATTCATGTCAAAGATTCCAAGGCTCTACGAAAAAGAATCCGCACTCGCCCAGTTCGCACTCTCGTCTCGTCTCTTTCTCACCGATAGTCATCATCTGCCGTTTTCCTTTGCCCACCACGACACAGGCTGGATCCCCCGGGCTTGCCTGCTTGCGGGCCACGACATCTTTGCGCGCTGCGACAATGATGACTACCTACCAGAGAGGTCTTCCAAAACATGAAGAGGTTGAATGGACAAAGTGGCGGCGTTGTTGCCGTTGAAACGGTAGACAAGTAGCAACATACGATCACCACCTACCTCTTCGAATGGAGTCACGGTAGGATCTCGTGATCATCACCGAGATTTAGGATTGACTACATAGTTCAGTCCGAGTCCCCTCGAGCCTCGTCCAGGAATCCAACAGTACGGCGACTTATTTCAAAGCAAAGTTCCCAGTTGTTTCGAGTCATACAACCAAAACAGTTGGAGTGGTTACCTTCAGGATTTACTGCATCCTCTATGAATGAGATATCCCGTGTGCCGCTTCGAGTTCTGCGCCTAGGGGTCATCAATCCTTTTCCAACGCTCCAAGAGGAAAGACAAGAGCTGAACTAGAGAGAGAGCTGATGGTGAAACGCTACAATAGAGCTTCGAACGAACCGAATTCGGTTGGATTCCGCTTCATGATAAGGACAGTTGTAAGACGGTTGCCAAACAAGGAGCTCATCTTCAGCCCGATAACAATATCCAGAGCCATGCAAAATATCAGGAAGGCCGGTCACCAGTCCCGATATCTTGATCAGACAGTATCAAGAAGTCCGCTTTCATCGCGCACAGAATCCAAGGGACGAGATGACACAAATATCTCGTCATAATGAGAACAACGAGGTGCGAAAAATGTAGAAAACGTACTTCGACATTTTGTTCATTAGATTTTGAGTCGAAGACGCGTCGAACCAGTTTTTTCTGGCCGACGTTCATTCACGACCTCGGGCATTATTAATCTTTTAATCGGCATCAAGGGTATCATGGTCCCACACTCGCACAACTGGCTTTCTCATCTCTTCTTACACATTACTCATATACATCAACCTTCCCTCATAAGCACATCAAGACCAGCTCTTTATCGTTCGGTGTAAAGCATACCAGCAACGCTGGCAGAGGTCAAGGTGGACAGGACACCGGAGAAAAGAGCCGACATCGCGACCTTGGAGACATCACCGGCACGCCCAGGAGCGAGCTGAGAAAGCACACCAATCTGCGTGCCAAGGGATCCAATGTTGCCGAAGCCCTATAATATATTCAACGTTAGTACTGCACCGAAACCCAGCAAAGGTCTGCAGAGAAAACTTACGCAAACGGCATAGGTGGCAATAAGCTTGGAACGAGGGCTCATGCTCTTGTAGGGCTCATCGTTCGTGAGCGACGAGAAGGCGACGAACTCGTTAATGATGACCTTGATGCCAATCAACTCGCCAACAGGACGGAGATCCTGCTTAGGGACGCCGAGCAGCCAAGCGACAGGATACATAAGATATCCGAGAATAAGCTCTAGTGAGAGCATAGGATGTTTGGCGTCCTGACCCATCAAGCCCCAGTACTTGCCCCACCAGCCGAGCAGGCCGTTGATGAAAGCAACAATGGCAATGATACATAGGAGTGTGGCAACGATCATGCCAGCAATCTTGATACCGAGCCAGGCACCGTTGGCAAAAGCGTGAAGAGCATTGGAGGCCTTGTGCTCTTCATCCTCGGGGATAACAACATTGCCAGAAGTGAGAGTTTCATCCGTCTCGGGGAAACGCATCTTGGAAACGGCCAAAGAAGCTGGGATGGACATGATGCAGCTAGACACAAGGGCCTGCGCATCAAGACCAAGACCGATATAAGCAACCAGGACGGAGCCGGCAATGGTGGCAAAGCCGCAAGTCATAATCTGGTGAATTTCGGCAAGCGTCAAGTGCGGGACGAAAGGACGGATCAGCATAGCCGACTCGCCCTGGCCGATGAAGGGGGTGGCAGCAGCAACGACAGCTTCGGCGCCCGAGACGCGTAGAGTCCAGAAGAAGAAGACGGCGAACTTGCCAATGAACCACTGGATAAATCCCAAGTAGTAGCAGAGCTGAACAAGGGCGACGAAGAAGATGATGGGAGGAACAACACCAGTCAAGAACCAGCCTTTGGCGGTGACCGTGTCGTCAGTCAAGAACACGACACCATCGTTGGCGAAACCGAGCAAAGTGCGGGCCATTTCGGAAATGAAGCTGAAGATGTCGTAACCAGCCTTGGTTTTGAGGACAAAAACGGCAATGACGAATTGGGTAAGCATGCCACCAATGACAGTGTGCCAGGGAATCTTCCTCCAGTCGCGAGAGGTGACAGTGAGAAGGCAGATCATGACGACTAGTCCAAAAATGGAGATGGCACGGTTCGCGCGAGTGTTGTCGCCGGTCTCTTCCGGGATCATACTGCCGAGGAGGAAGACACCGAGGGTACCAAGGGCAGCAAGAGGCTGATGAAGCTTCTGGGGAATCATAGAATAACCCCTGTGAACCGTATGCATCCAGATGATTCTGGCAGGGCGCATGACGATGCTAGTAGGGACATAGCAGAAGATGATGCGCGCGCAGATGGCGAGATAGACGAGGGTGGGTTTCAGCCATCCAAGATGGTCATGACGGTGATGGATCAGAGCGCCGTAAATCCACCATCTAGAGAGAACCGAAACACCTCGTCAGTGATCATTTCCAGGCATCCCCATGGGAACACACTCGAAAAGCAGGAAATACGAACGCAGTGAAAAGCGCCCAAATGGCAGCGTGAATATAAGGCCTGAAGTTGAAGTAAAACCAGGCCCAAGTGTAGCGCTTAGCGGGTTGCTGCTCCGCATGATCAACGGAACCGACCTGGTGTTGGCTCTCGGCGTCGACATATTGACCGGCCGGGATAGTGGTTTTGAGATCGGAGTCGGTGCTCGAGATCACGGGCTTCTCGTGGGCGTGGGAGCCCATGATCTCCGTGTTGTTGGCGTCGCCGTGGGCAGACATGGCGTCAATTGTGGGACTGCGCGAAACGTCGTGGTACTGAGGTTGAATCGTGTCCAAGTCGGCGTGCCCTCTGTTATCGGCCGATGACATGTGGGAATATCGAGGGTCGATGGAGTGGTGGAGATCCGGTTAAGGCTCCAAGACGACCTCTAGAGACCCAAGGGAGGCGGGAGCTCAGCTTGTCGAGACGTTGAGTCTGGCTTTTGGTCTAAGGAAGAGAGGTTGAAGAAGGTGGGTGCAAAGAGGGGGGCAGTCTGGGGTGGTGCAAACTTTAATACCCTCTCCTCGAGCTTCGGGTATCTGTGGTATCAGGCCAGGGTCTCGATCCTAGCTCTAAAAGAGAGATAGTAGCCGGAGGAGGGTATCTCAGTGCGGTGAAGGTACCGGCTGAGGTGGTTATCAAAAGAGTAGTGCGTCCCAAAAAAACTGGATGGAGGGGTGGGGTTAGCCCAGGGGCGCACGATGGAGGGGGACGAGGGGTGGCAGCCAGGGTTCATGAGAGGTACACCCACTAGTTAGGTCTGGTAGGTGTGGTGTAGAGAGGTGCCAGTGTGTACTTCGCTTAAGCTTGGATCATGCTGGGATGAAGGCAGGGGGGAAAAAGGCACAAAATGCCCACAAGACCGATAAAAACAAAATTGGACAAATGATAGGAAAAAAAACCGACGAACCGTTCTGAGCGTTGCGTTGTTCCAGATCTATTACGACAACAAAGGTCGAGATGGAAGTCACCAACGGAAGAGGAAGCTCGGCGTCGCCGCTAGACAGCCACCTGTGTTAATCCACCTCCCTACTACGTAAGTAGTGTCTGGCTTGGGTACGACCTGTGTGAGACTTTGTTGGCGAATAGATCTGGATAGTAGCAGGTCGAGGCAACCGTTATCTTTCAGTCCGTCGCACTTCTTGCTCGTGTGTGTCTTTGCCCAAATCGGGCAGAAGATGATCCTCTTTGCAGAAGAATGCAAAAAAGAAAGTTCTTTTTCGTCTGGGCCCACCCAAGCCTCCTCTCGGCTTCAATTATTTCTTTGCCATGAGCGTCCACTCCCGTTGGTGGCCACTCCACCTGCCATGTCCCGACCTCCGAGCCAGTCCACCAGCGAGTGGGAAGTTAGGCCTTGGCTAGTTTATCGGGCCAATCGTTGGCCAATTGACCAATCACAGACTGCGAATCTGCTCCAAGAGGCAAAAAGATGCTGGGACCGGCCTGTCGACGTCTTGAGGAAGGCGCCCGAGGGAGCACACCAAAAGTCAACCAAAAGCCGTATACAAGTCGCAAGGCTCTTCGTTTCTCGCATACTCGGCACCTTGGCGGATCTGCCCCTCCACTTCCTCTTCTCGACAATCGCCCCCATTCAAAAAATTGCGGATAGAAAAGGCCGGGACGGAGACTGAGTGGTTGGATGCCGGCTGCACTATTGGGGCTCCGTCGCAACGCTATTCCACTCTCATGTCCACCCTCCGGCGACGGGCCAAGACCTTGCGCACCGTGGCACCCTGCTGGCCTGCTTTCATTTCACCTTCTTCTTTGGGATTTTTGTCCACGCTCATGCGAGCATATCTGAGGTTCTGGCCCGGGGGAGCAGGCGAAGGCTGGCAGGTCATCAGGTTCGAGGCCAACAAGCAAAAGGGAATCTTCCCCGAAACCCGATGATTGCGATCCAAGCTCATTCTAATTTCGATGACCTGCTTTCCCCGGGTTGGAGTGACATATCGCTGTGGAGGTGGCGGCATCGTGGTTTTTGGCAACCCCAGAGTGTAGGAATTAGAATGGAAACCGTCAAAATGCGGGGTTGGTGAACGGTTGGTGATTGTTTTACACTAGTGTAGTGTTGAGGCACTACACTCGACCAGAGGGCGGCCAAAAACCCACACATTCATCGACATCACTGCGGCTTGCCTTGTTCGCCTCTACACTACCTACCTGCATGGCATGCACCTCGCCAGACCTCCCTCGCCTACGCCGTTTGGTATCAACGACGTCTTATCTCCCGCGCCATGAAGCCTATCATGGATGCCTCGCATGCTCACCAACGAGGTAGTCGTACCGCGTCCCCGGGTATCTATAGCAGGCATCTTATCAGATAGGTACCTTCTCGGGGCGGCGCAGAACGCTTGGCATCTACGGGTATGCCACCTCTCACACCGTCAGCAACGCCCAATCTTTTAGATTGGTGAAAGGTGACGGCGGGACTGATGATCGATGCATACGATAGGTGGGCGGCGTAATTTGATTCCCTTCAGGGCTGCATCCTAATAACGTCGCAGTACATGACGCCTGTCTGGCTTCCAACAGCTTGGACAAGGATCGTTTGATTTCTTTCTTTTCCCCTGGAGCTGTCGCTGTTGCTGTTCCTGTGATTGTCACCGTCGCCATCATTCTGGAAAACAAGGAAGATCTGGATCATTGGTGTTACCGACAACAGCGTACGTCTCCAAAAAGAGCTTGATAGTACATAAACATCGGAAAACTTAATCATGCACGTGTCACGCTCCATGATGGGAATGGCATGCACAGCGCTTGGCCGCGGCAGAAAGATACCCAGCAAGGCCAGGGTTTTCGACACCGGGTTTTCTCGACAATTGGCTCATTCCCCACTGCTTTTACCTTCCTGATTTGTCATTTGGCGATGTGTAGATATCCGAGACGGAGGCAATTTTACTGGTCCAGCAGCTACATACCCCAGAATCAAAGCTGTGATCCACTCAGGTTTAGAGCCATCCGAACTCCCGTATCAACACAGGTGCGTGGACCCCGAACCTGATGGTTATCCACACGGCGGTTTTCGACGACCAGGACGGCCGCGGCAATATACCCGATAAATGCTACAACCTTGTCCTTTGGTTACTTGTAGGTAGTGTAGAAGCAGGTGATCAACCCGAACCAAATCACACATTCCCTGACCTTTCTTCTTTTGACCCTCCATTTGTGAGCGCATACCGCGGCGACCCTCAGACATGTCGTGGACGACCTGCATGCCGCATCAACCCGACACGTGTTGCCGTCCGGGGAGTTCCATTCTAGACCGGCTGCCAAGACCGGGGACCCATCCTGCTGGGAGGTGGGGTCAGAGAGGGTCTTTTCAGGAGAGACCATTACCATAGTTGCATAGATTACTTGCTATGATTAGCAGTAAGAAAGAGTATGCCCTTCATCTACACCACATATGGGACCGATACGCATGTAGAACAGGAAGAAAGGGGCAAGAAGTCAAGTGCTGGACCCTCGCACATGCCTGAACTGCGGTGTGGGATATACCCGCGGTTCCTACAATGTCTTACCTGCCCCTGTGTACCAACCTCTCGTCACATCCATCAAAAGCAACTCCAACAAATGCTAAGAGTTGGGTTGAGCGCCAGAGTTGGTCAATAAGATGCTCTCAGCACCTTGCATCTCGCAAATCTGATTCCAAGCTTGTGGGACTGTCGCGACGAGAGATGTGTAGACACTGACCAAGTTGGGATCTGGAAGAGCACCAAACCAACGTATGAGGGGGCCCAGGGCATGGCACCCCTTTTTGGCATCTTACTTTTGCTCCCATCACCAATGGTACCTCGCCGACGAGATGTCAACCGCCCATCGTGTACTTCTTTTCATTGGGAGCTTCCGTATGTCGACAAAGCGTCCATAAACTGATTGTGATGTCACCTCGGATTGATGTCCTGATTTGGGTCACATGAAGCGAGGCATGGCGCCAGGACCGGCGATGGGGGCAGTAGGCTTGTGCTGGCGTTTTGGACGGGATCCGTTGTACACTCATTCACATGGAGTCCGAGCTCGATGTGAGACGGTTTGGCAAGTACTGTTGTGGTTCAATTCGTTAGCCGAAGTCGGTTCAGAATAGCCTCGCGGCGACCCTTCTCACCTCCCTGCACGGCATCAGGCGGTAATGGTGCGCGCGGGTGTCTCGCAGGCTGCACGATACTTCCTTGCGAGCCTGGACTGGCACGTCTAGCGTAAACGAGTTGCTTAGATGCTCATGATGAAAAAGAATGAAGGTTCAAAGACAATCTGGAAAGAAACTGAATGGGATAGCCGTGGGAAGGGGCTCTGCGGGGAGGTGGTCGGATGACGAACAAAAAAAATCGAGATGCGATTGCCGTGGAATGGAACGCCGTGCGGGACTCGATGCCCCTGTTTACCTGTCTTACTGTAGTGCTCCAGTCCTCAAGCCGGCCGTGACGTTTACACAGTACAAGTAGGGTGGATCTCGACTCGGTAGCTCCTGGCGTGCCTGCGCTGGCTCTTCTGGGAGCAGCCGCACTGCAGTGCTAGCATCGCGGGATCCGCTGGCTCCTGCTGCTGCGATACATTACTACCTCTACACAGTATGGGCTATACGCCGCGCATTGCGCACCTCAAAAGACGGACTGCTCGATTTTGCTGATTTCGGCATTGTGGAGGAGGATAACTCGACTGCGTCTTATTGATATTCCACCTATCTAACCTCTACGGGCTTCCCCAAAGGTTAGGGTCAGTGAGTGTTGGGATAAGGTCCGGAGTGCAAGGGGGCGGTGAGAGGTCCCCGCGTGTGGAGGGAAAACAATAGCTTTCGAAACGATGTGAATCCGACTTCTCGTTGTCGTGGTTTGAGATGATGACTTTGGAAGATAGTCGCTGCGCGCGAAAGACATGCCCAGCTCGTCGGGTGGGGTTAAAGCCAGCGATTTTGTAGTGTAAACCCCACACAGTCAGTTTATCTTAGTCCGAGTCATCGGCATTGCACCTCGATCTCGCCTCGCACCTTCATCTTTGCAACTCAACTTGAACAACATGTTGTACTATGTATTTCGCATCCACAGACGAAGACAGCTTGATATCCCTGACAGAGGACAAATATATACCCTGGCATCTCTGACTACACATTTCCACAGTTCAATTCACTTTCCACTTAGTAACCCTGGGTTACTCCCCGAACTCGAATTCGGTTGTGTGGACGACAGGAGCTGAACACAAAACGCGAGTCAAGCGAGCTTTTGGCTAGGCGAATCCAAAATCCATTTCCACCCGTTTCCACCATTCCGCCGTGTATTCAATCCTTCATTTCACTGGCGGCAATTCCGTCGCCCCGCACGTAACAGGTCTGCCGGAGAAAGCACCGATGAGCTGATAACTGAGCCCGCCGATGCGACGCCAAGTGCCACTGTCTTCCATCTGTCATCCATCCCAAGTCCCATTGGTATGGAGTGGGAAATCCTGCCACGCCTATACCGCCTGCTGGGCACAAGTTGAGAGAATCAAACTTCAACATCGCATGGTCACACAGCAGGACACGCGACGGACGAGCCGGAACAGAGCCAGAGCATCACCTTGGGATGAGGAGATAGTTGGGCGCTCACACCGTCGCTCCGGGTCGCGTACTACTGGCCCTTTTTGGTGTCGGTTTGGCTGGCTGAAGGCTGGAGTTACGACCTGGGAATGCGAGTGCATATATACATACCTACCTAGGGGTCACGGCGTTGCCCTGGCTGAAACGGCGCAGGAGCCCGCCCAGGGACGGCGTTTAAGGCAATTTTCAGGTATGATATTCAGGAGGGGGGGACGGGATGCCACCGACGCACGCTACAGGCCAAGCAACTGAACCAAGTGGTAACAAAAGTTGACCAGGGCACGGCCGGACAAACTTGGACGAGTCGCGGATAGGAGCACGACATGACAACTGATTCCATGGCTTTCCCACTGGCTGGGTTTGATCATCTTCCTGTCACCTCCCTCCATTGCACTATTGATGATGTGGATGCCGCTCGGGTATTGATGTTGGATGCGTGGCTGCGTTGTGACTGTGTCACTCCGACAAATGCACCCGTGCTGTTTGGTAAATGTTAGCCATATGCACTTCTTCACGCCAGTGGCACAGCACTACAAGTGAAGCGTACTAACTGCCACTAACAAGCATGTTCCATGTCCGTTGAGCTGCGCTGGACCGATCCATCGTCCCGCCGACTCCAGTCGAGCTGGCGCTTCACAAACACAGCTGCCGTCATCCTGCACTTCAGCTCGCAACAGGAATTTTCCTCCCTTGCACCCAGTTTCAGAATAATCTCATCGTTCATTCATCCTCAAAAGCCATTCCAGAACTCAAGACCACCTCAGCCTAGTAACACTACACTACGTCTGCAGGAATCACAGAGCAATATTCATTATACTTTTCCTTTGGCGCTGGCGCAACGATCCCTTACTTTCTACAATTCACAGCGAGTAGCACTCACCACTCACTACTCATCAGGCCGCTGGTTCTGGTTCTCAACTTTCCAACATCTCCACGTCATTCAATCGCCCATCAATTCCCGTAACCAATCGATATTGCACCGCACCAGCACCCGCTGGCTGTGAAGATCCAGTCTTGGCTTAACACGATTCCATTTGCAACAATATTTTAAACGTCGCAGCCTGGTCCTTTTCTTCGACGAAAACCCACGACGTCCTGGCAACAATCCACTTTCCCCTCATTTATCCGGCACCAAATCAAGTATCGTCTCGGCACCTTATCAAATTTGACAACCTTGACGACAACAACCATCTCGCACGCGACTTCTAGGCCAAATCACCAATCACCTACCTTCTGAGAAACCTTCAAAATGTCCAAACTTCTCAACGGTCTGCTTAGGGAGCAACACCACCAGAACCAGCATGGCCTCGGGCCCGGCTTCGGCCATGGTCATGGTCATCCGCACTCTTCCGAATTCCACGGTCCCAACCGGGACCACATGATAAGCGCGAAGGCAGCGACTCTGATTCTCCGTGGTGTGATTGCGACCGGACCCGACCCATCTTCGGCTTTCCGGACTTCTTCACCTACATCTGGCCCCAGCCCCACATCCCGGCCCAACACTAGTTCCGGCCACAACCCGACCAGCTCACAGCTCTTCACTCTTTCTTCCCAACAGCAACGTCAAGACCAATACCGAGTCCACACCCAAGGCCAACAACACGGTGCGGCCGAGTACGAGTACGACGACGACGATCATTATGAAGATGATCAGTATGACGACGACGAAGCGCCCACTTCTGCTGCTAGCAGCTTCAGCAGCACTCACGGCAGCGTCGTAGTCGGCGGCGGCAGTTTCTGTAGCAGGGATTGGTTCGATGCTCGGCAACCTTCTGCTGCTGCGGTGGCGGCGGCGACTGCCTCGTTTGGGTCTTCGACCACGAGACCGGCGTCGTCGTCGTTATCGTTGCCGCACAACCCGTCTGTTCCGAGCGGGGTCCCCAGATCGATGGTTGCTGCAGGCATCGGAGGCATCGGCATTGGCAGCGGCAGAGAAAGTGTTTGCGGAGTCATGCAGCACCCCCACCACCAACACTCCAAGTCTGTACCGGTTCTAATGTCAATGAAGGATCAGTACAGTCGGATGGCCATGATGCAGAACGCTCGCGACGGGAGCCGAGGGTATTTGGATGTGGATGATGAGGAGGAGGGAGGTGAAGATGAACGGGGATTCGTAATGCCAAACAGCAAGAGGGCTCGGCGAGGTTGAATTTGCAGCTTGAAAAAAACAAACTGGGGAGGAAAGGAGGGGGAGAAGCTCGCAGCTAAAGAGGGATTTGAAATGAAAAGCAGGCAGGTTTGCTGCAGGTGGATGCGGGTGCGCTGCACCTGATTCTACCAAGCCAAGGGATGCAATGGACGAACAAGGATACGGGGCAAGGAAATGAACGAATGTGCAAACGACCGAACGACTTTTACAACTCAAAAGCATTTAATGTAACACGAAAGGGAGAAAGAGGGAACAAAGGGACATGACAAGCGGGGTATGACATGATAGCACAGAAAAAAAGACATGAAGGGAAAACAACCGGGCGTGGACGCATGCTATATATGATGGGACGAGGGAAACAAGAAGAAGGGGGGCCAAAGCGAGGTGTCTGGGGCAAGGAAGCGGTGGTACAGGGTATTCCGTCAAGAGGGTCAGGTTGGCTTTTATTTCTTTCACAGATACGGCGGCATGAGACGTGCAGACTCTTTTTTTTTCTTCCCACGACGGCATATAAAGGAGGGCACATATGAACGAACGATAAGGAAAGACGAAAAAAAAAATCATGATAAACTAGGTTAGGCCAAGGTTAGGTAGGTAGCCACGTCACCACTTCAAATTCCAGAGACGTGTCTTGGCATGATGAGAAAGAAGAGACTTTGCCTAATAGACCGAAGCTCGAGAGGTTGTCTACATGGTGGGTTATCAAGCAACAACAAGGCTGAGATTGAAACTGGAAGGACGAAGACTTGCAACATCGGGTATTTGCTAAAATGCGCAACATCAAGACTTATCATAACTAAGCCCTAAATCCAGTATTTCCCCCATATTTCATATTCCTCTTTGGTTCCTCTGAACTTGAAGTCCACCTCGGTAACGTCCTGGAAGCCTTCTTTGACCTTGGGCTCCTTGAACCGGGCGTTGAAGCTGTTGAAGGCAAGCTTCGGGAGTGATGTTCGGGATTCGGGGTTAAGCTGTTGGTCAGGGAAAGAGAGAGAGGTTAGCGACTACCAGCTAACTGAAGGAAGGAAGGAAGAGGGGAAAAGAAAGAGCAAAAAAACATAACTCACTGGTTTATTCAACGCCCTCACAGCATCATTGTGCTCACAAACAACCAACGGCGTCCGAAACCACACACACCGAACCGGCACCCCCTGTTTCTTCGCGAGCTCAACCCACTGCTTGCGGGTATCCGGATCGGGATTGGTGTTGTCCACCACCACCGAGTCGCCTTCCTTCAGATACTCGGTTGCTGCCTTGAGGCACTTGTCTTTGGACTTCAGCACGTCCTGGTTGACCCGCTCGAAACCAAGAGGTTTCAGATGTCGCCAGTAAAAGGTCGACTTGCCGGCGCCAGGGGGGCCGACGAAGAGGATCAGTTCCTGAGGGGAGGTTTTGGTGAAGAGGATTTCTTTTTTCGATGATGATGATGATGACGAGGAGGAGTCTTGATCATGTGAGGAGGAGGGATAAGGGTATTTGACAAGGTCGAAATCCCTGGTGAAATTCCTCGGCTCCTCCCCCAAAAAGAACTCTTCGGGCGTTTGGTACTTGATGCCCACGTTGTGCGCTAGGTTGCGGTCTGAGCAGCTAAAGTCTTTGGGAGTTGCGGTCGCTTTACGCCCATTACTATTTGGTGGAAGCTCCGACTGGCGACCGCCGGCGTCGCCGACGAAAATGCTGTTCTCGAGGTCGATGTCGTCGTCGTTGATCAGGTTGTAGTCGGCCTTCATCTCTAGCCACATCCCGGGGCGTGGCTTGCGGTAGATGTCCTTGCCTGTGGCAGCGTAGAGCGTCGTGGGGATGTCGAGCTGGGAGAGCACGGCGGAGCATTTTTGCTTGAATTGGGGCACGCGGTCGAGTTGGGCTTTGGGGGTCTTGGGTTTGGAGGAGGAGGAGGAGGGAGAGGCGTGGAGAGTTAGGCCGCCTTGGTTGGTGAAGATTATGACTTGGTATCTGATGTTTTCCGGAACGATTAGCTATTTGATCCAGGTGATGGGTTGTGGTGGACATGAGGACGCACCCTTCTACATTGTACAGCTTTCGCAAGCGATCAGGGACCGAGTGGTGCCACCATTTCCAGTCGGCTGCGTCGTGGGAGTGTTTCTTGCCAGAGGCCGATGTGATTAGGGTCGAGTCCTGTTAACACGAATCAGAATGATTATACGCCGGGTTGCTGGGCACAATCTAGGCTCCTACAAGATCAAAGGCTGCAATCTTTCTCCTCTTGACTGTTTCGTTCCCTGATTCATCGTTCGTCGGCGATCCTTCCGGGACGTACTTGGCTACAAGAAGGGTGG